CCCCACCCCCCTTCCCCCGGGTAATTCCCCCCGCTACCACCCCCGCCATACACACCTTCCGAAAGGGACACTTGGTGTAATTTCGATTGAGCGTTTTGAGATTCAGGATCCGGATCTCGTTCTCCAGCTCCTCCAGGAAGGCTCCCGGCCCCCGCTCGAGGCCGTTTCCCCACCTTGCGGAGTACACCAGGCCCCCGAGCCACATCTGGCGGTCCCAACAGCGCATCACATTCTTGGGGGAGTGCGTGGTGCCCTCCGCGTCGTCAACACGGACGCGTCGTAGGAGCGGCATGAAACCCACGTGCCATCCCGCTGTCCACATGCGGATGGATAGCTGCCCGGGGGGAAGAAGACCGGGGGAAGGCCGGGGGAAGGCGGGGGGAAGGCGGGGGGAAGGGGGGGATGGTCGGGTGAGGGTTTTAATTAGATTTGATTGGCAATGAGAGGATGAGGGGTTTAGGTAACAACAAAAAGCTGCGAGGGTTATCATATCAGATTTTCAAAAAAAACCAAACAAGGCAGTGGACACAAAGTGAGGATACGACAGAAAAAGGAAATTAAAAATGACGAAATTAAAAATGACGAAATTTAAAAATGACGAAATTAAAAATTGACGAAATTAAAAAATGACGAAATGACGAAATGGAGATCTCTCTAATGTAATTTACGAATCCGAGTCAGCGAAAGGGCCACTGGCAGCACCGTTCCTTTTCTTTTTCTTCAAGGGGATTTAAAAAGCTGTTCTGCTCAGCCCGACCCCAGGGCTTTGCCCAACACAGTTTCAAAGTTCCACCATCCTGTAAAATATGCTGGAGGGCATATCCTGACATTTGCATCCGCCGATCGGTGCTTTTCCGAATCGTGGTAAAACACATCCTCAGCAACTAGACACCTCACCTCTAGTCCTCCCCCCCAACTACCTTTCCTGCCCCCCTAAACCCCCCTCAAACCCCATCCCGCACACATACACACACGCACGCACACACAATACATACGTACCTCCCAATCCGATACGATTCCACATTCCCCGACGTCCGACATACCCTCATCCACACCGCCCACATGCAGCAACGCAGCTCGCCTTAGTGCCATGGGGGCGTAGTCCACTTGCAGGGGAAAGGTGAAGAAGTTGCCCGTGCTGGGGTCGGAGAAGTGATGGAAGGTGTCGGGCCAACGCTCCTGTGCATTTTTGAGGGGAGTACGACATGTACAGTGCCGTACAGGACAGGTCGGGGGGTAGGGAAGGGAGGTCGTTGAAACTGAGAGGGCAGGAAGGGGGAGAGGATAAGGAGCGCGGGATTGTTGGGTACCCAGGTGTTGTTGATGAGTTTACATGGGGTTTAAATCAGCCGGAAAGTACGCAAGCAAACCCGTGGGCGCATGGGGTGACGCGGGGGCTGCTACTGCTACTGCTACTGCTACTGCTGCATTACACCAATCTTTCTGTAGAGATGGCCATTGACGATCCGGGAGCCGCTTCCCACCACCTACCGCCTTAAAAAACCCCGTTCCTTTCCCCCTTCTCTGCCCTCCGCCCCCAAACAAAATGTTCCACTCACGCACCAAGTTCCCCTCCCGCCCATTCCCCCGCCGATAGCTCTTGAGTCCGACCATGCCCAGCTTGGGCATGGAGTCAAACTGCCGTACAAGTCGGTGGATCCACGAGCAGTCCGCGGGCTCGAAACCGTCATCATCCTGTAAACAGAACCATCCCCCGGGTGGGCATTAAGGTTAGGTTGTGTTGGGTGTGTTGCGTAATTACTACAGTTCGGTATAATATAATACAATACAATACAATACAATACAATACAATATAATATAATATAATATAATATAATATAATAAAATAAAATATAATATAATAAAATATAATATAATATAATATAATATAATATAATATAATATAATATATAACATAATAATAATGATACATTTTATATATGTTAAAGAAAGCAGACAGGAAAGCAGGGAGCAGGACAAGTAGCACAAGCGGCACAGAAGTGGAGGCAAGCAGTAGACTGCGTTATGACGTTTTAAATGCGACGTATACGTGTGCTGAGTGAGTTCGCTAAAAACCCTGACAAAAACACGCATACAGAAATATCAAAAACACGCATACAGAAATATACATGTAGAGGCGAATATATGAACGCACATACTTACATGCTTCTTATACAACCAACCCAGAGACACACACATACGAGCGCACATACAGATGCACATACAGCATCACCTGCAGCACCACCAGCACTTTCCCCCGGGCTAGGGCCGCCAACCGGTTGTACGACCGAATTTCGTGGATGTTGTTCGAGAACACGGGCACCAGGCGTCCCCTAGTGGTCCAAGCCAGATCCGCCCACAGCTGCCCTTCCTCGGGACTGTCCACATTCACCAGCAGCTCTACCGGCATCTGGGGCGGCGGGCGGGAAAACGGGAGTCGGGGGAGTGTAAGGCGGAAAGGAAAAAGAGAAGAGAGAGAAACTGGAAGGGTTTTAGGGTTTTAGAGATTTTAGGGTTTGCAACGCGCATCTGACGACTCGTAGCCACGCCGCCCCATCCCCCCCATAAAACCCCACACTCCCCAATTCCCTACCGACCTGTCTTGTGCAGTTTTCCAGCAAGTTGATCATGGCGGGTATTCCGGTAGGTCGCCGGAAGTATTGCAGCATGAGAGACACTTCGGGCCGGTCCGGGAACAACCTGGCGTTCAGATGTCCGCTACTGCACTGCACCTGGGGAACCGTAGCAGTAGCAGTAGTCGTTAGCTGTAGTCAGTAACGGTCGTCAGTAGTAGTAGTGGTGGCAGTAGCAGTAGTCAATGGCAATGCAGGAGCAGGAGCATTGGCGATTAAGAGCAGTAGCAGCAGCACCAGGAAGTAGCAACGGAAGCAGCAGTAGCAGGTGATTGTCAGCAGCAGCAGCACCACCACCGCAAGTAGCAGCAGTAGAAAATTGGGTAGATTGGTAGTTGGTTGGTTTGGGTAGTTTGGCAGTTGGGTGGTTAGCAGATAAACACATCAGGGCCGGATCTGGACCGGACCCCTGGATCGGCCGGGGCCGCCAAATCCCCCGTCCTCCTCCTCTACCAACTGTGAGGCCTGCGCCGCTGCTTCCCGCGGCTTCAACCACAGTGAGGCATGCTGTGCACTTACCAGCTCATGCACGGTGGTGAAGCTTTTGACACGGCCTCTAGCCCTAAGATGTCCCACCAAGGTGCGCATGGCCTCCTCAAGATGTTCGCGTGCCGAGAGCGAGGTGTTTAGCCTAGCTGAAACATACTCTTCACTCCAGTCCGTCTTCCATGCAGCAGCCTCAGCGGCATCGGTTGGTTGCTGTATCGCGTACTCGCGCATCTTGCCAAGCAGCTTTGTCATGTCGTCCTCTATGCGTCGGTGCATTAACCATTGCTGATGAATATCCCGAATGTTGAGGATATCATCCTGATTTAGCTGCTCTAGATGATTCTCACAAAATGGGAGTCGAAAAATGTTTCCAAGCTTCGCATGGACCGAGAGCACAAACGCAAAGAGGAGTATGTAACCCCTCATGATGGCCGTTAGGCATTACAATGCCGTTCATAAGCTCATACGTGCTGTGTAAAGTACAGGTAGAAACAGTAGGTCGGCTGATTTGGCCTAGGCTCGGACAGACCGAGCGGTTCCTACGTCCTTGATCGTACTTGTAACATATGCATAATGTATTACGGCAAACAATGGACAAGCCGATCGCAGGATCTGGTGAATTTGAATCGATTAACGGTTTAGCCAGAGTTGTTGCCTACACTTGCAATGATGTTTTTCAAGTCTCAACCGTCAACCTCAACCTCTCGACTTTGTGTCCTACATTTCAACAGTTTGCCCAAATTCTATCTATTCCGAGTACATGAAATGCATGACAGTCAATCTTCGCTGACTAGGTTTAACAGTGTAAAACACGAGGCGCGCGTTTTAATTAGCTCCGGGACGAGCAACTGGTAGGTACATAACATGCCCGCCGGCTGATGGCTCGCTGTGGCTTCCAACAGAGATACCACCGACGGATTCTGCAAAGGAAAGATGGATGCACAAAATTGTGCACACAGTTAAGAGGAGAATCAAAGTGTAGAGGATAGGTCCAGTGACCCCGCTGCCGCTGCCTCCCATCTGTATAGATGGGCGAGTGATTTTTAAGGGGGCCGCCTCCCATGGCCTGACGGGAAACTGGCCAGCCTGCCCAGTTTGCCGCCAGGCCTAGCTAGGTGACGAAGAGCCACACAGAGTGTGACAAGAATCCGGTGTGGTCGCAAACTCCGCAATCTTCGCGTTGCTAGCCTGGTTACGATTCGCTAGTACAGCAATCCGAAGCCGTACAGCTTCGGGCCACAGTATTATTGTCCTTTTCTCCAATAACGAACCGAAAGTCGATTGACACCAAATGGCAAATCTGCCATGCGTAGACAGATAGTTGTAATTACACAGTGCTCCATTACGTGTACGGTGCCTATCTACCATATCTACCATATCAGTGTCTTTATCGCGCTCATGGCGCTTCTAAGCGGGGCATTTTCCGGAGGGGGAGGGGACTTTCCAAACAAGGGGAACCTTTTAATGACCCCTAGTTGATTGATTACCCCGCAACGAAAAGGGAAAAAAACTCAAAAAAGAGTTCTGGTGTAAAGATGATAACATTTATCCCTCAGGTATTAAAGCTCCTGGAGGTGCCCGGTGCCCGGATGGGCCCCCCCAAAGGTCGGGACCCATATCCGCCACTCCTACACGCGATGCCGCCTCCTCCTCCTATCTACATCCTATCTACATCCCTGCCTTACTTGCCTGTACGACCTAATACATATCTGTACTCCGCCTTGCAGGCAGGCAGGCAGGCGCGCACACACCCCGGCAGACGCCGCCGCCGCCGTTGCCGCCCACTGCATCACCCGCCTAAGGGTAAAAAAAGGTTAGTAAAAAAGTGAACGGATCCGGAAACACACGCACACGACGCGCACATATGCACGGCCCAGTTCTATAAAAAAACACGCTTTCACGCTTTCACGCACGCATAAGCAATGTTCCCTTTCAACGCACAGCACGGCCGCACGGACACCACTCGCGCTGTTCAACGTCCGACACATTCGTACATACATACATACATACATAGATAACCGACTGACCACTGCCCAAAACTTGTAGTTGCACCGGTGTCGACTAGGTACGCATTAACTTATTAACCACCACACCCTCTAGCCAGCCACAACCCTACGGTCAACGACCAACCCCCAGCGTTTCAAGCCCAACCATCCTCTACATATTGTCAGCACCCCCCTTCCCCCCCCGGGGCCTTTTCTCCGGCACAGCGCCAGGTGATCATCACCACCACTATCATCATCATTTATAACGCGTAAGCCTGCAGCGACCTCCGTTCGACAAACACGCCGCACGTGCGCGTGTGTGTTTTCCATCATTCCACACGCCAACACCCTTCCACCCTTCCCGCACCCAGGTCGCCATTTCCTCACACCAACACTGTAACCGCAGATAGTGCCACCCAACAGAGCGTGATGTAGGCGCCTCCGGTGGGAGGAGAGGACTGCGTGGGAGAGTTAGTTCACGAGGACAGGGAAAGGCACCAACACCAACACCACTGTCACTGCCACCAATACCTTCTGATGGATGGCCAGCAAGCACAGAACATGCCAGTTGCGCATGTTGGCATCGCGCCGGAGTTAACCACTCCTAACTCCTAACCTTATAGACTTCTTAGCCACAACTACAACCCGCCTGCCGTCAGTTGCGTTGCCTCTCATACAATTACCATTACTGCCCTCAACTGCCAACTAACTAACTGCTCAACAACCGCTGTGTTAATGGTGTTCTCCAACCCGCACAGGCTCTATAGAGGGCTATAGAGGGCTATAGAGGGCTATAGAGGATATAGCCCCCCACCCAGGTCCGAAACAGCTACTCCGAGGCGGTGGCCTGGCGCCCAGGGTTGTGTGCGCCCGCTTGCCGTCCAGGCTGCAGTCCGAAACCCAACAACGCTCCGGAGGGCATGTTGAGGGCGGTTTGGGGGTGGGGAAGGAACGCAATGATGGAGCAATTGAGCTGTCGCAACCCGTCAGTCAGAACTAGGCCCGGGGCCCCACCACCACCATGACGAGGCGACGCCGACGTTGCACAGCCCCGGAGGACCTAGGAACAACACCTACATCGCAACCGCACAACAGCTACATCGCAACCAACCGACCAACATTACCAACCGACCCCCCATTCAACAGCATCTGCAGCCTCCTGACCTCCACATCTCGCAAGTATGTGCGTAAACCGCCGAAACCGCCACATATATAAGATCATCGGCCCTACAAACTCACGAACGTCCTAACCCTCTCCGCCCACCTAACCGGGTATTGCACTTCCGGAGCTTCGGGCCCAGGGCGTGGGAGAGGAGGGAAGGGGGGTGGGAGGGGAAAGGCATCAGGATGAGGGAGCGGGGCCCACAGCGTTCGGAAGCAGCGCCGATGAAGGGGAATTGTGTATGGCAACTTTATATCCATGTACGGATGCCCACAAATGCCAGACAGACAGGCCCCCCCCAAGCCTTCAGTGGCTTATGCGCCGCAGTTTTACGGTGCACGGAGCGGTATTGGGCTGACACCGTCGCCCAACGCCGCGTCGTCATCGCTGACGTCGCCATCGTTGGGGCGGAAAATCATTATAATAGAGTGCAGCTGTGGAGTCCAGACCGTATTACCGTAATGATGCACCCACCGCCACCACCACCACCCCTAGGCGCCAGCCGCCGCCATTCGTGGCGCGAGCGTGGGCGTGTGTCAGAAGTAACAAAAGCGCGGCACGGCTGTACACGGTCGTGCATGCAAAAAAAACATGGCCAATCATACGCAATGACGTGATATACGGTCATCGGACCTTGTGGACGCGTGTGACCACGGCTTCGCCACAATTTGTCAAAGCGCTCCGAATGGTTTCATTGTTTGAATGTGCGTGCGTCAGGTTTGCGCGCGTGTGGCACCCAAACCCAAAATATGCAACGTGCCTAACCTAAAATCCAGAAAAGACGAATCTATCACCTAACACACGCACGCACAATAAACAGATTACAAAAAAAGGGGAGGCCATGCCCCGTGCAATGCCTCTTAGAAGGAATGGACAATGCAAGCGCAGGCGCACTGCCATTTCCTTTCCAGGGAGGGACAGGCCCTCGCGCCCAGAGCCTCTCTGGAGGTGCCTGACGGAGTGCGCGCATGCGGCATCGGCAAGTCTATATCAACTGGGCAACCCACGTACGTACGAAGCTTCGTACCGCCGTACACCAACAACGTCCCCCGCGCAGCCGCTCTTTGCTCATACTCGCAGCGGCTCACAGCAGTCCTTAACCCTTCCGCCTCCCTCGTCACCATTACAATCACAACTCCTTAGCTCTACGCGCACGTAAAACACACAACACACACGCACATACACATGCGCCATGCCGTCCTCTTCCTCCTCCTGCTGCCCCGCAACCCTTCCGGACCATGACGCCATTTCCACCACCACTCCGGTAAGGGAGGGAAAGGGAGGCGGATGGAATGTGAGGAGGAGGAGGAGGAAGGAGGAGGAGGATACAACGAATTCGGCGCTCGGAATCACCCCCGCCACGTCATCGTCGTCATCACCACCATCATCATCACCATCATCATCATAACCAGCGGCAATAACAGCAGCAGCAATAGAGCATCACTTGTGCGGTGAGTCGTGCGCGCGCGCGCACTTCTTCTAAGTCATCCGGGCAACAGGTGATTGCGCACCCTACAACCAGACATCAACAACAACACGCATCCGTGTTGCCGGGTCGCCAATGGCAACGCAGCTAACCCCCCGCTGCAGGGGATCAGCGTCTGTCTGTTGGTTGATTTCGGCCCCTAGCTGTTTGTAGTACCTATCTCCGTACAAAGCCTCCGATCACCAGCACTACCCATAATCGTCATCACCATCATCATGATTTTCAGCCCCTCGCTTGCGGGGCGATGCGAGCGCCACAATCCGAGGGCGGCGTGAACGCGCAACGCGACCTGTAAAGTAGTTCGTACGTACATACGTGCAACGTACGTACGACCCCGCGTACGAAGTTTTCAAAGCCGAGGCAGCAGCAGCAGCAGCAGTAACAGCGGCAGTAACAGCAGCAGCAAAAACAGCTAGCAGTGCAGAGAAAGAAAACCGACAGGGCAATACACGTGCCCTGTATTCTCTTCTATGACTGCACACAATTGAGCTTGACAGACAGACAGACAGACGAATAACCTTAGGACCATATCGTTAACGAGTCTTGGACGGTGCAACCTGCCGTACCGCTTACGGGTACGGCCCGAAAGCACTGCCGTATTGATGAGGACCAGCGCGTCATTGCGACCCCGCCGCCGCCAGCCCCCGAGCCTGGGCTTGCGACTGCGGCCGCGATGGCGCCTCCGCGCCATATTGCAGCGCCCCGCCACCACCTCCTTCACAGCTGGCGACGACGCCACCACCACCTATGGCGCCGCCGGCGGAGGCAGCCTTGGCAGTGCCGCCAGAAGCCGCTGCCTTTGCGAGTGCGGCATCCGTCACAAAGTTAGAATACCCTGGTACCAGCTCCGTGCTTCGAGAGCGTGGCGGCACTGCATAGCACGTCCCGCTGGCCGCCGCCGCGATGGCGCCGATGGGCCGCCTGCTCGCGTGCACCACCGCCAACGCGCCGTCCGCCGTCAGCGCCTCGGACATGGTCTTCCTATTTGCACGATCGGCAGCGGCAGAGCCTGCGACAGCAACCTTACCCACAGGGCCCTCGAGGCTGCTGCTTGGAGTTGATGACGTGGGATCCCCCGGCCGGCCGCCGCTGAGCGCCGTACCGCTCCGCTGCGTGCTCTTGGGACGAGCAGAGGAGGTAGCACGTGCCGGTGGCAGCGGCGGCGCATGTGGGTCACGACCCACCCCTCCCGACGCAGCTGCCCCTTCCAGGCCGGCAAGGGATCCTGCGTGTCGTCGTACTGAGGCCCGTACAGTTGTACCGGTGAGGCCTCCGTCGGTCTTGCGCGCGAAGACGGCCATGGACGTGGTCGCAGCACCTACCGACGGCCCTGGTGCTGGCGGAGGGGGAGCTGCTGACGATGACGGCGGCGCTGCAGCTGTCACCGTCGCCGTTGGTGCGGCGGCACTAGAGCTTGACAACGGTGGCGGTCGCGGTGGTGTCGTAGAGGCAACGGCGGAGGTGCTAGGATGATGATCCTTGGTGCCGAGCGGGATGTTGACGGAGGCGCGTAGGCTGCTCTCAGTTGTACTCCCTCCGCCGCCGCCACCGCCGACGCTCTTGGTGCCGTGGACGGATCGGCCCCGCCGCTGGGGCACCGCCCCGGCTGCAGCCGCCGCGGCGTCCGCCGCTGTCGCCACCACCGCCGTCGATGCACTCGACGTTGCTGCCGCCGCTGCAGCGGTCGCCGCCAGGCTGGCGACGCCGGTGGCTCCCGTCGTCAGCAATCCTCGCAGCTGCGCGACCTCCTGCCGTAGCGCGTCGTTCTCCTTCAGTACAGCGGCGGCGTGGCGCCGAAGACCGTTGCTCTGCTCGTACAGTTGCATGTTTTGCTCGTCCACCTCCATGAGGGCCTCCCGTAGGGCACGACTGTCCTCGTGGGCCTGATGGTGGTGATTCGGACGACGAGCAACGGAAGCAGTGCGGCAACACAGTCGAGGATAGCGCAGCAAGAAATGATAGCCACGCAAGGAATGAAAAAGAAGCCAAGAAAGGTAAGTGGGCCCCCCAATCAGTGGGCCCTCTGAGCACCTTGGGACAGCTACAGCAAAGCAGTAATGTACAGTAATGTGGTGCGATGAAGCGGTCGGCACTAGGACAGCACGCCGTATCAGAGCACGGCCAGACCAAGGCGCTATATCTACAGGCAGCTGTAAGGACGGGGGGGTGAGGAAAGACCGCCATGATACAACGCACATGCTACGCGCCCCTTTTTAACGCAACATCGGTAGGTGAGCTATAGGAGAAGAGACATCATGGCCACAGATCCCTGCCTGCCTGTCCTTGGACCCTCTGCATTTATTCAGTTATACATACATACATACATAATTCAGCTAGCCAGGCCACATACACGCACCTCTAAGAACAGTTGCCGCATCTGCTCTAGCTGGGTTGTGAGGTCCTCGTCCTCCGCAGCAGCAGCACCGCCTCCCTCAGTGGCTGCCGAGGAACCGGGACGACCGGAGGCCTTCTTCTCACCATGCAGCCCACTGGCGGCACCGCCGCCACCAGGGCGACCACTCGCGTGCGCCGCCGCTGCCGCTGCCGCCGCGGTCGTCGTCCTTGTTGTCGCGGCGACGGCAGCGGCAGGTGGCGGCGTCGTGCCACGCGAGCTCGGGCGCACGACCGGGCTGGCGGCGGCGGCGGCGGCGGCTTGACCTGAGCCAGAGAGGGCCGTCAGGCTAGTGCGGAGGCTGCCGCCGCCACCGTTGCCGTCGTGCCCCTGCTGGTGGTGGTGCTGCTGCTTTTGCGACGGCGGCGTCGTGGCGACGGTGGTGGTCTCTGTGGAGTTGCTTTGATGAGCGGCGGCGACGGCACTGGCGACGGCCGCAGCCGAGGTTGCCGCTGCCGCGGCTCGTCGCGCCTCGTCCAGTTGCTGCTGTAGCCGCATAATCTGCACAATATGCACGACGGCATGCGCACACGCGAGATACCAAGATACACATAAGATATACACGCGGCACACGAGCAGGAAGAGGAAAAGGAAGCGGAAGGAGTTTCAGCAATTTTCATGCAAATACGTTTCTACACATGTACATATATGTCCAGGGAAGGGAAACCCCCCTTCATCCCCCCTCCTCATTGCCGTTCTTCATCCACCCACGTCCGTCAGCGTTCTTCCTTCCTTCCCGGCATCCTCTTTCCGGTAGGTAGGCCACTCACCGCCTTGCCCAGCTGAGCCGCGTGATCTGCGTGACGCTGCGTGCGCTCCTCCACCTCCGCCCGGCTCTCCGCCAGCTCGTGCCCGAGCTCGCGGCACAGCCGCACCGCACGACCCGCCATGAGCTCGGCGCTGTAGCGGGCGGCGGCGTACTGGCGCCACAACAACACCACCGCGGAGGCTTGGCTGGGTGCCAGGGTCTCTAGGAGCTGCTCCACGGGGTTCACATCCTGCGGGGGAGAACAGGTGATCGTGACGTGGCGGAATGTTGATAACAGTATTGAAACTAGTAAAAACTAGCAAAGACAGGCAGCACCGAGTGGCAGTCCTGATGAAGAGGTAAAAGAGGTGTAGGTAGGTAGGTAGGTAGGTGGGCAACGGATGCAGAGCGGTCCTTCTCCGGGTGCAATCGTGTACCGATGCCGCTCACACCGTATGTCAACACACACATACACACACGCACACGCGCGGAGATGCGTTAGTTGCACTGCAGATGATGATGTGATAATGCTCTCCAGTGCCCCGCGGGGTGGGGTTGGGGTGGTCCTCGCACCTTGCGGCCAATGGGCGGGTACAGGTACCAGCGGCCCTGGCTCGAGGGGTTCCACTTGGGTGGCGCTGCCCAGATGGTGAGCTCCTCCTCCAGGTCCGCCAGACTCTCCAGCAGCTGCTGCTGCACCTGGGGAACCCCATCACCGAGGTACATGCGCGGTCCGGGATTATGAGAGGGGGAAGGCGAAAAGGAGGGAGCTCGGTAATGCATAAGCCTGTAGGTGGGAGACACGCCTGATAGTCTGATGGCTCCTTGTTGGAAAAAAGGATAAGAAACAACAAATATCCCCACCTCGAAATCGGTTTCATAATGCTTCACTGCGTCAACACATCATCATCATCATCATCATCATCATCATCATCATGACAACATCGTCAATGTGTCAAAACAAAATCGTAAAGCAATACTGCCCGAACGGCCAAGCAAGCGAGCAAGCAGCAACGTAACTTAGTCCCTAAAGCCTTCACACCATCACAGATACGATGAGGAGGACGCGGTTACCTGGTGAGGTGTCAGGGGGCCTGGCAGACCGCTGGCACTGCCGCCGCCGCTCTGAGAGCCCGGGTGTGGCGAGGGCTGCCCCGCGGGCTGCCTTTAGGGAGGGTAGGGCAGGGTAGAACGGATCGGCGGACAGGGAAGGATTTCAGGTGGGTGGGTGGGTGGGTGGGTGGGTCTGTGTGTGTTGTGTGTGCTGGATAGGGTATCCCCCGGGGGGTTGGCATGTTCCAAGCTAGGGCAGCAGCGTGTATCTAAGCTGCAACACGGTCAACACGTAATTTAATGATTTCAGCAGCGAGGAGGGAGAAAGTGCCAGTACACTGTACATGTACAATACCAGTACTAGTCTGGTACGTGTAAACATACACGTAGCACGTGTACCGCGCTCGCGCACAGGCGGCGGCGGTGATCATACTTGGTGGCTACTTCTTGCTCCAACATTGTATGCCATTCTAAGCCATCGCGCCACCAAGTGATATTCTTGCGTCCAAAAGCCTTGCGTAGCATCTGTCTGTCTGTCGGAGCGCAGCACGGAGAGCCAGCATACCTGCCGCTGCTGCTGCTGTTGCGCTGCTTGGCGGCGAGGTCTTCTCGATTGGCGAGCCGGGACAGGTTGAGCGGTGGTACGTTAGAGGGTCGTACGAACCTGAGAGGATGAGCACGGCAAGGGCGAGGAGCAGGACATCGTGAGTGAAGGGAGTCCGGGTCGAGTTAGAGGGTTTGCACTGTACCCACATCCTCCCCATCCCAGACTCCACTGATGGCCGTCTTTGCACTGTACCCACATCCTCCCCAACCCAGACTCCACTGATGGCCATGTTGTGCTGTGTTGCGTTGTGTCACTCAGTGTTGAAAAAACGAAACGATGCCAAAACAAATGGCACCATGCATGCAAACGCGCGAGTATCAGGAAATTGTGTTAGTAGCCAATGGTTGGGGCTTGGGGACGGGGACGCCATCAGGCCGCGCAGGCCATTGACCCACGGATTCCTGCCCCATTCCTCGAAGTCGGTTGCGCGTGTATATAAACATCTATTTCTATCCTTGCCTGGATGCAGCGCTGCCGCCTCCGCTGCTACTGCCAGCTCTCCCGAGCCCCAAGCCTCCCAGACTTAGAGCGCGGAATGCCTGAGTGTGGGTCGATGGATGGATTGGCAAGACAGGGAGACAGGGAGAGGAGGCAGCTTGTGGTGGGTGCGGGCTTCGGCGTTCGGCAAATTTCGGGCCCAGACAAGGCTGCATTGGAAAGGGAGGAAGATTTAGAAGTGCGCTCTGCTGATCTAAATGATGCTAAAATTAAACAGTAGCAGCAGTAGCAGTAGCAGCAGCAGCAGCAGCAGGAAAAGCGCCTTGGAAGAGCGAATAGGAATGGAAGGAAGAAGCAAAGGAATCTCGCGATAGGAAAAGGGGAAGGAGGATACAGAGGACGTACGGACGCGCATATGCGCAGACACGTGGGTGCTGCCACGTGTGATGACGATTCAATCGCTTCATAGTGCGCAGCGTCTTAATCAACCCCACGCTGGGCGCATACCAGCAATTAGCCCATCGTGGAGCTCACCTCCAGTGCGCTCGCGTCGCAGGTTGGGCACATGGGGTCGGACCTCGGGCTACCCCAGCTAGGTTGAGGTGCTAGACCACCGTCTAGGCTACGCTGCGCCGGCAGGAGGTGGTGCGTCGCGGTGCTGGTACTAAGCAGCGGTGTGGCGTCAGGGACGGCGCCGGCTCCAGAGCCGTCAAAGCGTAAAGCGTGGACTGTGGGCGAGGGCCGCTGAGAGGCCTGCAAGCCTCGGGCCAGCTGGGGCTCGAAAGGGCTGCGCGGCAGGATATCCATTGGACGGAACGGCGGACAATTGGCGCGGCGAGGAGCGCTCAGAGAAGCGGCATCGGCAGGACAAAAGAGATGAAATTGAAAAACGATTTTGCAGCATAACAAAGTCTGCGCGCCGTGACTTTCGCGAAGCGCCGTCTTCGCCATGGTGGACTCTCCTGGCTTTGCGGGCTGACTTTTGGTTGGCCTCACCTGAGCCCTGCAGATAGCCGTCCATTTCGGTCCAGCTGATCCGATTGCTTAACCTAGGGTTGCAGCAGTGAAGATGTTAGAGCATGCGCGAGCTGTCAAGCAAAGCTGTCAAGCAGGGGGCGGCTGTAGCCCGGTCCAACCTGGTTATGAGGCGTATCCGAGGATGCCGATCCAGGAATAGAGAAGCTAAACTTCTCGTTTTTAATCTTGTTGCTAGATAGCCGAAGCCTGCAAGAGCCAGACCTTATTTTGGTCAGGGTCAGCGAAGAACACGAATGCTCAATTCTAAGGCCACTCCAGGCCCCGGCTGCGCTCACTTGTTGAGCAACGACTTGATGATGGCATTCTGGGTACCATGGTGCGGTCCTGGAGGCTGAGCGTTGCCGCTCAACGCTGCTGCTGCAGCAGCTGTTGGTTGACGCCGACACCTGCCCACATGCTCGCTAACGCATTCGTCGATCTCCATTTTCTCTCAAGAGGTCATATATGATGCATGAATAGCGTCGGGTTCTCCACCCGTGGCAAACTAGGCGTCAAAGTCAAGGACGCGCGACTGTCAGCGCGGGTCAGCTATACAAACAAGTAAGCGTCAATATAAGCATGTCATATGGTCCTAAGATGTTTACAGAACTACTAGCTAGTAATAAGAGCATGGAACAAACCAACGCAGTACGGCAGTTGACTTTTTTCCATTTGCCAGTCTTGCTCCCAAATTGGCAACCAAAGCGATCCAAACACGGTGGTGTTTTACATCTGATTGACTTTTCGCTCCTGAGTTCTGAACCAAGCCTGGTCTCGACGGCCAGCCCCGGAGACTGCAAAGAAGTAGACTTCCGATAAGCATTCATGTGTGCATCTATGATGTATCAGCATCTTCCTACCATCATTGGAATCGTCGGCTCTGGACAAATGGGCTGTGGTGAGTCCCTTCCGGGCACGCTGAGCGAACTATGACGCCCATATTCTGGGCATGTTGCAAGATTAACCATTTTACGTTCAGCTGCTACGCGAGTATCGGAATGTGTTTCTGCGGGATTCTGGTTCCGAGGTCTTGGTCTCCCGACGCTGTTTTTTGCCATTATTCCGCAACCAGTTTGCTCCTGACTGCAACTGCAATAAAATAGCTCATTAACACTTTTATTTGTAATTTATACCTTAACCGTAACCAGAGTGCGTCGCGTGGCTGCAGCTGAACGTGCTGAACCGCTGCTTGGTTGGCGACACTGTTTCCATGTTTAGGTCCTGTCGAAGCAGATAACACCCTTTCCTCTACATAAATTGTTCTGAGGTCCATCTTGCACGAGAAGAGTTCCTGCCTCCGCACCACTTCCCACATCGACTCGCTTCCTGCTTCGCACCTTCCGCAGCTCGGCCGCCCAACCTAAACCACCTAAACCAGGCTAGGCTACGGAATGAACAATCTATAATCCGTGTCTTCCCCCTTGCATATCGCTCGCCCTGTGTAAAATTCTGTGTCTGAATTCTACATCGCGCGCCGCCCCTTCCCCGCTGCTTTAGATCGCGGCAGTTGTATACCTGAAAATTTTCCTATGTCCCGGGCCCCCGCCAGCTCACGCAGCTCCACACGGGCCCCTTGACTCAGTCATGTCTCCGAAACCGCGCTCTCCAGCCACTCGGTCATTTTCCTTTTTAATTTAAATTTTTAAATTCCTAGTGCTGAACCATTTTTGGTAGTGCACCGTCTCGCTTTGTTCTTCGCCACAAGATATTGATTTGGGTCACGACGGCTTGTGTGTCAGGGGGAGATTTGGGTACCGCGCGGGAGAAAGGAGGTTGAGGGATAAGAGACGATATAAACATACGCGTATACGCACATACACACTTACGGGCTCTACACGCACACGTAGACACAGAGGTTCCTTGCGGGGAAACACAACACAACGCAAACAGCCGCGGCTGTCCCTCCCGCGCTACACCACACACAACCCACACCCCACACACTCCGCACCGGCTGGGGTGTACTGTAGAATAGGAAGCAGTTGATTCTTTGCTTCTTGTGCCATCATCATCATGATATGATTCCGATGTTATGGCTCCCACCCCGCATAGCCCAAAAACACACCACCACGCGACCGCAACGCGCTTGTGTTTTTTTGAAATACCGTACACATTGCGGCACTTTAATGCTGACCCAATTTAAGTAGTCGTCTGGGGAGGGGGAAGGGGAGGGGCTGGCGCGGCAGGTCAGGACGCGCTCGTGAACCCACCTCCATGACCTCTGTGTGTGTGTGTGTGTGTATACATGTGTGTACGCGGCTTTTGCCTTGCCTTAACGATGGAGCCTGCACTGCTCCATCGTTTTGCATAAAGCGTTATTTATACGGCTAAAGAGGGGTGTTACCCGCTTCCCCTTCGTTTTCTTCCCAATGCACGCCGCACTGGAGAAGGACCCCCCCCCGGACCCTGCTTCTTTACAACCGCCGACGGGTTAGTTCTGCTTTCTTTACATCTCCCGCAGCAGTCTTTCCATGGCAGCAGCTTCACCTGCTCGTGTGGTTCGTCTTTCAGCCCCGGGCCTCTTTTCCCTTCCCCCCCCCTCTCACCTCACCTCACCTCTCTTTGCAACCCCGCGGACAGCCCTCCCCAACAGCCAACCCTGAACGCCAGTTGCTGCTTTGGCTTTTGCACTTTTGAGTCCCTCCCCACCTCACCTGCACCTCACCCGCACTGCTGCATTTATCTTCTCCTGAACTACTATCCGTCTATCTTTGGTATGCGCTCCATTCGCCAGTGGTTCGTCTTACCCTACCTCACCCCCTCACCCCGGCAGACAGGCAACCCTGAGGTCGGCGGTTGCTTTTCTAGTGTGTACTATATTGCATATAATCCCCTCCACACACATACATACATACATACATACATACACACACACATACACACACAGCCAGTGTCAGCCCGGTGAGGTGTTCGTCGCACTCACGGCCCGTCCCCCCAGGTATCGCCCACGTGGCGGCGCAGCGCGGGTTGACGGTGCTGCTCAGCGACACCAGCGCAACCGCCATTGAACGCGGCCTGTCGGGACTGCAAAAGTCGTTGGAGCGGTTGGTACGGAAGGGCAGTGTGACACCTGATGACGCGGCGGCCACACTTGGTCGTATACACACGTCACACGGCAGCTTGGAGGTGCGTGTATGTATGTATGTACTCATGTATGTATAACTGCGCGCGTGGCTGTGTGTGTGTATTTGAGTGTGTGGGGTTGGGGCCCGGATGGGGAGTAATCATGTCCTGGTTCTCCAACCCCCTCCCCCTCCCCCCCCCATCTTCACTACGTCATCCCGAGGTCGCCGCCTTCAAGGACGCCTTTTGGTCAGTTCTACGTGTGGTACACTCTTGGCCTGGCAGCAGCTTCACTTGTTCGTGGTTCGTCTTTCCCCTTCCCCCCACTCTTTCGTGGTTCGTCCTTTTTGCCCCCCCCCCGTCCCCCTCCTGGCCATATGTGGCCCCGACCCACGCACTGTTTTTTGTTTTCTGTTTTTGTTTTTGTTTCTTATTATTACTTCCCATTTTTGCTTTCACCCTGTTTTGCCTTCACCCTGTTCTGCCGGCGTATACGCCGTCCAACGCGTCATCCCGTCCCATGCGTCATCCCGTCCGATGCGTCACTAGGTCATCTCGTACGACACCACCTGTGTCGTCCTACGCCGCCTTTGCAATTCTTTATTACTTCCTGACTTTTCTTCCATTTTCATATAGTTTCTTTAGGTTTTCTCATTCCAGCTTCCCCGGTCAGCAAGTTTTATACGCCTTTTCAGCAGCATCTGCATGAGTTTTTGTTTTTTTCGTTCGCTGCTCACGAATTTGCCACCTCTCTGCCTCGCATGTGCCTTTGCCCGCTGCTCCTGCTGCCTGGCCAGGTGAGTCCAATAAGGTGGTTCGAGCTTCTTTGGTATTTCGCGTTGGCGTCGGTAGGCTAGCCGGAATAGTTTAGTTTGGGTCGGTCGGGTCAGTCGCGCGTTCTAGTTTTTTTGGGGGGTTGGGAGGAACACTTGCATACCGGCAGCCCTTCAGTATCAGCAATGCAGCTTTCTCTCCTGGTCAGCAACTTTAATTTTTTTCTCGCCGCCTTCACTACTTTTTCTACACCTACTAGTTTACAGTTTGGCTATATTATTTCTGGCGGCTTAGGTAGGTAGGACTTCCTACTTCTACGTCATCTTCATCCCGAGGTTACAGTCGTCATCCCGAGGTTACAGTCGTCACAGTCGCCATGGACGCCTTTCGGTCAGTTCTTTCGGTTGCTACTTTCTTACCCTGGCAGCAGCTTAAATCGCGTGTGGTTCGTCTTTCCCCCCCCTCCTGGCCTTCGCTGTAGGCCTGGACACGTGTCTGAACATCATGCGCACCTTACACTCCCAATTCGGAGATTCCAAGTACCGGCCGTGTCCGCTGCTGGTGCAATACGTGGACGGGGGGCTGCTGGGGGTCAAGAACGGCAGGGGGGTTTTCCAGGTGGGCCTGGGAGAGGGGAGGAGGGGAGGGGGAAGGGGGGCTCAGGGGCTATGTGTGTGTATCGTCTCGTGCGGGGTATCGCGGGGTATACCACGTGACACCGCCGCTGCCTAACCCCCTCATATCCTTATACCCTATACCCTTCCCCCCCCCGTTGCCCCGGGCGCGCAGTACGACCCGCTTATCCATGACATCATTCACGCGCAGCAGCCGCACGTCAACCTCACTCACAACATCGGCCACTCCGCCACCTCCAGCTACAGCGTCTAGTCATGTGGCTGGTGCTGGCTGGCCAGTGGCAGGAGGAAGAAGGGGGGAGAGGGAGAGGGAGGAGGAGGGAGAGGAGGGTCTGGGCCGCGGGCAGCAGCAGGAGGAGGAGGAGGCCATTGCGGCGAAGTACGCCAGGGACGAGTTGCTTTCCTTACAGGCGAATGGCAGGCCGCCAGCCAGCCAGCCAGCCGGCCAGCCGTTCAACTCGCCTACCCTACCCGCCTGCAGCCCAGCCAAACAGGCCAGCGGCCCGTCTGCGGCCGCTGCCTGCGTGCTTGCCTGTGAGCATGTGTACTTTGTCGCGTAGAATCAAGCACTGAGTCAAGGACTCAGTAGTACAGTCTTTATTTAAATAGAGGCACAAAAAAGAAGCGGTTAAGGAGGGTGGGTGCCCTAGCAGCAGGGCTTCTCAATTGGGGAGGTACAGCTTTTTTTTTTGCTGCGCGGCTTTGCTGCCAGCTTCGCACCCAAGTGCGTCAAGTAAGGCGAGGAGTTTCCCCTTTCGGGGGCCAGATAGCTCAGATTTTCAAAGGGCGAAAAAGGAGGAGGAAAGCTGTATATGTGGGCGCTGGCTCCGCCCCAAAGTTTTGTGGCCCAGACTGAAGTCTCACCTTGGGGCCGTTGGGGCGCCCCTGGCACGAAGAACAGCATGGGGCGGCATGGCACAACATGCACAACATGGCACACATGGTGTGTGGCTTTAGATGCCGAGATAGACGTGTTCATCCTTTTCCTTAGGAGTCGTTAGTTTTAGGTCTACATGGCCGCCCACAGCATCTAGCTAAGCCATTTACCTAAACTACAGAGCTATTGGAGGCGGCTTTTTCAAAGTGCTCTGGCCTCGCATCCCCCCCAGGACCTTAAGCATCATCCACTTTTCACAGCTCAGCAATTCCCCCACCACAACTACGATTACGCCGCTGTTGGGCTCCGTCGGTGAAATTGCTGTTGCGTGAAACCATCCTGGCCACCTGCTACTGCGGCAGCGGCTTATGATAGTTATTTATCAATTATACCCGCGTCGAGCTGCTGGTTTGGGTAGGTTTCATGGTTACCCGCAGGACGGTACGATTGTGCGACAACAAAACGTTGTGGTATGCGAGTATAGCGAAGATGTGCATGGTATTTGTTATGGAGCTGCGACCGGCGCGGTTGGGACCGTGAAGACAACAGCGTTAAGTCTTCTGCGGAAATATATAGTTTCTGGAAGTTTCCTGTTCGCAGCGGCCGTGTATAATATGATGAGTATTTCTTCGTGTTGCATCTGTTGCCTGGTGGGGTGTGGCCTGGTCAGAGCCCTGTAAGCAGCTTTCGTTCCGGGCTAATTAAAATAGCAGGTTATGTAATTGGGCGTTGTTGGCGCGGTGCAATCGCTGAGCTGTCGCCGTAACGTTTGAATTTAATTTTAGAGTATTTGAAATATACGGTTGGTATCCATCACCAGCGCCTCCTAATTTTATCAAAGCTATCTTCTTTTTGCCCTCCAGAATAATGTGTCTGAACTTATTCATATAAATGAAAAGTATTTAACAAACAATCTTCATTCAATTAAAGAATTGAATATTTGTACGCGTGTATGTTCGAACCAGAACGGGGCTGAGGAAACACCCATGGTTCCTTGGCCTTGCGTACATATCGTACAGTGAGTTCGATTGCGTTTCGGTTTCGGAGAGACACACAGCTGAGCATAGCACACTGTCATTTTGTCCGCTCTTCGATGGTCCAAGACACGAACCTTCACCTCAAGAAGTCCGAGAAAGCATATATACTGGCGTCATGTGCAAATATGACACAACACACACATGCACCGATGCACACACACACACATCCTTGTTTGCGGCTCAGCAACACACACACACACACACACACACACACACACACACACACACACACACACACACACACACACACACACACACACACAAGCGTGCTCGACCTCTCACTTGTCAGTCACATCTTCATGAAGCGCAGATCCAGTCAGACCAACCAACCAAGCAACCAATAAATATAAACCCACTTCACCAGCACCCAGGTACTGCTTTGCATGTTCCTTATACTGACATACGTACCACAAAATGCATCATAACCGCCGCTCCAAGTTCACCGTCCACCTCCTCAAAGCACATTGCCCCACCCTCGCCACTCGCCCTCCTCACACCACCTCATTCTGGGGCCCTCGCGCCTTTACCACCTCCGCTTCGCCTCCCCCTTTGGTGCCCCCCTTTGCCTCCTCCTTCGCGGCCTCCGCCTTGGCCGCCCTGGCCGCCTCCGCCGCCGCCACCATCCCCTGCACTGCCGACTTGCTGGACATCATCATGTAGGCCGCGTGGTTGGACATCATGCCCACCAGTTGAGGGGTGTAGTTCATGGAGAAAGTCGAGACGTGGGGAAACATACGGAGGGTGTCGGCATCCAGGGGGTTGAGGGCCTCCTCCACCTGCGGGGAGTGGGGGAAAGGAGTGGGGAAAGGAATGAAGGATGGAGTGGGCAAAGGAGTTCTCCTCTTCTTCACTACCACAGTAGTTCTAGTTGCCGTTCCAAAGGACCCACCCTCGATACGCCCCACACGTTCTATACGCGTGTAACCCGCTTGCAACTCCCCCACCCCGTCCTGCCTGGTAGGGCGTACCTTGGCAATCAGCCCCTTTCTGTCGCTCTCCAGCCGCTCCCTGGTGGCCTGGGGTAGTGCCGCCTCCCACACCGGCTGCCGCTGGTTGATGACCCACATCACCCGAACACGCCAACCGCCAGAGATGCCCAGTGACGAGTTACTCATTACCTGAGGGGGAGAGGGAGGGGGAGAGGGAGGGGGAGAGGGAGGGGGAGAGGGAGGGGGAGAGGGAGGGGGAGAGGGAGGGGGAGAGGGAGGGGGAGAGGCAAAGAGGAGGGGGAAGGGGAAAGAAGGTGAATAAGTGAATAAGCGAATAAGGCAGTGTAAAGAAGAGCGTGTGTTTCGCGGTGACGGTGGTGTTGGTGATGGTGTAAGAGCAGGAATGCAGAGTCGTGTGTGTGTGTATATGCAATACGCTCACCTCGTACTCGTTGACGTGTACGGGAGGCAGCCCCGCCTGGTTGCTGTCCCTCAGAGCCTGGCACAGCTCCGACCAGCCCTCCGAGGGAAACACCTGCCGGGTAGGAGGGGGTAGGAGGGGGTGGGGGGGGGTAGGAGGGGGAAGGGGGGGGGTAGGAGGGGGTAGGAGGGGGTAGGGGGGGGGTAGGAGGGGGTAGGAGGGGGTAGGAGGGGAAAGGTTGGGCATTTGGATCTTCCCGTTAACAGAGCCACGTTGGGTGGTCTGGTGCATTTCCCCACTTCCCGCCCCGTGCGGGCGTTGCGAGAAATGCAACTTTACGGCGCCATGCTGCATGTACTGCTGTACCGCACCTGCTGCATTTTGTTGTACTCTTCTAGGTTGGGTTCCGGGGCCTCCGGTTGGCCCGGCCAGCAGCCGAACATCTGGTAGGTGGGTGGGTGGGTATGTTTTAGGAAAAGGGAAAAGGGTTTTATTGATGCTGATGTTCGTTGATGGATTCTGGCGCCGGGGGAGGCGTGAGGGGGGAGGATGCACGCTGGGGAACACGGTGCCGTGTTACACATTCAAATTCACATACACATACACACGTCTTTGGGGCCCCCGGCCTCTCAGGCGCATGACGACTCCCCTCGTACATACACACACACACACACACACACACGGTTAGGAATCTGACCTATATAAGTCCCTCCAATGATGGAGTGGCGGTTGTTCCCGTTGGGGAACGGTTAGCTACCCCTGGCCAGCGTCAGGCCTGAATCGATGTGTAACAGATGCACACATATATACATACATACATACACGCAGCTGGCGAGGCTTTTCACAGGGGACAAGGGCCTCGTATACACAGTGTGTGTGTGCGTGTGTGTGGGAGGGGCACTTCTTTTGTTGGAGGTGACGTAGCCGTGCGGATAACAGTACCCCATATCCTGGCAGGTGAGGGGCGCTGGTGGTGGTGGTGGTAGTCGTGGTCGTGGTGGAGAGCGATAATCTCCAACGCCCGATACTCTTTGCGCCATCCACCCCTGCGCCTTCCTGCATAACCGTCCATCATGTTTTTTATGTGTGTGTGTGTTATCCTCGTTTTGCTGATCTTGATCATGGGACCTCCCACCCCACCCCACCCCACGCTGCTATTATCAAGCTCCCCTCCCCTCCCCTCCCCTCCCTTACCCCCGCCAACTCCATCATGTATGAGGCGAAGGTGGGGTCGTCCACTTCCGTCCTGGGGCCCACAACGCCCAAATATACCAGGAGTGAAAGGGAGGGAGTGAGAGCGAGCCACGTGTCTCTATCTGTATGCGTGTGTATGCATCTTGTTCAGCTTCATCAGCTTCAAACTGCAAAATCAATCAGCAGAGTCACCAAACAAATGACACAGCAGGTAGTCCGTGTTTGTTGTGGCCAATGTGCTCATCATCGGGCCTCATCTACCCGCACTGGAAGGCATGGTGGCTAACGCGGCGGTGATGAGGCAGCTCCCCGGGACTCTAAACCCCCTTTCCGTACCCCCACGTGCTACACCACCCATGAAATGAAACAGTCCCGGCACGGTGTCGTACAAGTGTCGTACAATACCTGGTTGCGGAGCACACTATGATAGATGGCACCCTCCGCCGCAATGCCGGGTAGATGGCGTGGTAGTCCACCGCGCCACCGTCAGACAACTCAACATTGCTGCAGTGCCACTCCTGCGGGCGTTACGGGTGCATACGTGTAATGTTAAAAAGACGCAGCAATAGCAGTAGCAGTAACAGCAGCAGTAGCAGTAGCAGTAGCAGTAGCAACATTAGGAATTCGCACGGAGGATGGAGGACGCAACACGTGGACAGGTACCACCACAGCAGCAGCAGCAGCAGCACCACCACCACAAGCATTATGGGGCGGGGTCGGAATTCTAGAGAGCGAGGGCAGACGCGAACGCAGTGGCTTGATGGAAAAGGAATGGGATAGCTCCCGAATAACCAATCAGAGCGGATTGTCGCCAACAAACAAAAACAAGTTCGCCGCGTTGTATGAGGGGAGGGAAAAATGAAGAGCAATCGCAGACCAAGGGGAGAACCTAGGTTTATTACAGACATACGGACTGACTGACTCACCCAAATGCCAAGCCCGATAGTAAAAGTGGTGTACCCCGGGGGGGTTGGTCTGAGGTTATGGATAGGGTTGGCATGGGAACGAAGACCAGACCTCCTTCCAACAACTTCCTTTCAACACCCTCTTTTGCGTCTCCCTCCTTCTCACCCTCCGTCGCATCCGTGTCCCTTTCCCCCCTTCCAGGACACACAACCCCCCCCCTCCCCCCCCCCCACACACACACGCACGCACGCACGCACAAGGCTGACCTGCAAGTCAAAGTACTGCGCGGTGTTGAACCCTAGAATCCTAGGTGCCTTCTTCCTGGCCATCGCTTGTTGCATGGATATGTACGACGAGGATATACCGGTGGCTTCCCCCAGTGAGGCGGGTCCGCAGGCGCGGACTCGTACATGTACGGCACCTGTGGGGCAGCTGGTTGGCTCGGGCTGTGGAGGATAGGGGTGTGTATTGGGGTTTGGGTTTGGGGGGGGTCAGAGAGCTTGGAATTCGATTTGGGGCTGGGTAAGCTGGAGGGGACTGGAGTCCGGGACTGCTCAGAGTTCGGAAGTTTAAGATCCGCCAAATGGAATCCATGTGGGTGTGTATCAAGATTGCAGTTGGCAGTTGGCAGTTGGGAGTTGGCAGTTGGGAGTTGAAATTTGGAGCTCATCAAACAGCAACCAAAGCATCACGCACGCAATCCTACATTCGCCATTATCTATCCCCTTTAGAACCTGGTGTTTGTGATTGTGATTGTTTTTCCTTGAAACTCAAATTGGGGCGTCAAATGGACCGGCAGGGAAGTCGCGAGCGCCTGGAGGTTAGCCCTAGAGGCCGCGGCTGTGACTGAGGAGCGGGTTGATGCGTGTGCGACGGGTGATAGCGCGAGCGCCGCCCGCTCTACCTACACCTACAGCCCAGTTCCGACATCGCCCGAGCGGCCCAGCCCAGCTCCCCCCCCTACCCTGCCGCGAAGGTCACCTCACCTCGCCTACCAGCAGGGCATTGAGGCCCATCGTCTCCACCCAGCCAGCGCCCAGCTTGGGCCTGGTTTCGGAGTGCCGTACAGGACAGCCGCTGTACAGCGGCGTCCATTCCAGAGGATAGTATATGATGCGCTCGTGAGCAAGGACCATGACCTGATGCATGTTTGTGTGGGCGGGGGTGGGGGGTTTGTGTGCGTGTGTGTGTATGTGTAAGGGGGAAGGTGTTGAGATGAAGGTTCTGCACATGTAGCACTGTAGGTGGAGAGGTGCTCGGACCGCAGGCCGTGCAAATCTCTTATCCAGGTTACCTGGGGAAATGATTACATACTTACATACACACATACATACATACGTATGTATGTACGCATGTATGCAAACACAAAAGCACCTAGGCTGTGCTGTGCTGTGCATGTGCATGTGCTGTGCTGTGAGGGCACACCTGTGCGATGATAGGAAAGGGCAGTCCGTCCAGGTTGGCCGCATACACATTCCCGCGGCCCAGTTCGGGTGCTCGATTCGCAACTGATGCCATCACCCCGCCCTGTAGCAGCAGTAGCAGCAGCAGTAGCAGCAGAATCTTTAGCAGTCGAACCGGTAGCATTGGCAAAGGCAGCAGACGCAGCTGCAGCGGTCGCAGCAGCAGCAGCAGCAGCAGCAGCCAGACAAATGGGATGGTGAACATGGCGAGGGGGAGGAGGCGCCCAAGGACTAGCCAGCTAGCTCCCGTACCTTTGTACCGCAGCACGTGACGGTACTTGTATCCGTATCTCCTAGCTCGTACGGCTCCAGGAAGGCAGCCGTTATAGCCTTCGTCCAGGCCCGGGCCTGTGTTAAGGTGAACGAGAAGTTAGTTAGGGGGTTAGTTGGGGGGTTGCTTAGTCATTTCCTTACATTAAATTCACAAACCCACCTTCACCGGTGTCGCTCCACCGCGAACTACGTACACACCGCTGAACCGCAGGGCTTGACCTATGAACCCAATTGTTTGCACCAAAGTTTTTAATACCCGACCAATTTATTCGTTAGGAATTCCAAGCCGTTAATGTTTTCTGCTATGGCGCTTTCCGCATCCATCATACCACCTATGATGACCCGGTCCCCATCCGCGTTTCCGTTGAGCCCCTGAGCTAGCTAGGTAGCCTACATGGGAAGTACATAGCCACTCGCCCCTTTCCCCCCTCTTACCCTCCCCCACCCTCCCTCTCTTTCTCCCCCACCCTCTCTCCCTCCCTCCCTCCTTTCCCC